GTTGGCTCTTTCCTGCCTCACAAGATTCCTGTCCTGCTGTACCCTCCATCACCTCAAGGCACCTTACCCCAAGCTCTTCCATCCACCGCCTGCCTCTGTTCCTGCCCGCAACAACAACTGCTCGCACCAGGGACACGCGAGTTCCTACCTTGCTTTGATCTCTCCGCCCCGGCTCGAAACTTCACTTCTTTCGTTTATCGCCTGCCGCCGCGACACCCCTCTTTCGCTCACTCGCGAATCTTCTCTCACCATCTTCAACCTCTGCCGCAATCCTCCTTCACGCCGCATCATATACCCCGTTCCAGCACATACCGACGCCCGCATCCCGTCGAGAAGCGCACCGGCAATAGCGACACCGATATACATCCACACAACCACACAAACACCATTTTCCCCTCTATTACCGAACAGGAACCACGCAGCAGAAACATTACTGCATCGTAGCCGACAACGCGCATTTACCCCAGCGGTTTTCCTCGGAGCTTCAAGAAGGGTCGAGATAAAAAAAGACAACCGGCTCCAACGGGCCACCTCCGAGACGAGACGCCAGCCCATCCTAGTCAACGGCAGCGAGACAGAGTTGGCAGCACGGCCGCCTTGTCTTCTCACGACGCAACCCCGTTGGGTCCTTCGTCCGACTTGAACTGACCGCAGGCACCAAGAAGTTGGGTCGATCCGGGTCCGTGTTGCAGGCGCACCAAGCAGGTCACCGTCACACACGCACACAGCGACCGTCAGTCGACGGCACGGCAGCGCAGCATACAAACACAGGCACGCGAAATCTGCGCTTGGCAGTCTTCTGTGAGATCTGGATTTTTTCGATCGCCCGCCTCCCCAGCGTGGATCGCCAGCATATTAAGCCGCCCGATTCGCTCCAAGGAAAAGACGTGTTACAGCGTCCCGGATAAGGAAAACAGAAAAAGCAAGCAAGAGGGAGGCGAAAAAGAAGGTGAGCTTGCACTTCCTTTTCTGGCCCACCGGCATGGCACCTCGTGGTGTGGTTGCCGGTTCACCCATTCACGGCGTCACCCATCCTTCGCGATCCCCCAAAAAAATAAACCCCCAATTCCGCCCCAAGCAGCCAAACCCCTTCAACCTCGCTCGTGGATGGATCCCCAGATCCACCGCCCTACCACCCAAATTCCTAGCTAATCCAGTCGCTAACCAGCATACCAGCAATCTCCCCCTGAATCCGATAATCCATCCGATAATCCATCAGCCCCCCTCCGAACCAAAGGGGCCCTGAACAAACCATCCATCCATCCATCCACCGTCCAGAATCAGCACGCCGGCATCAGTTGCATTACACCACATACGATATTCAATTGTTATTGGACTCTTCGACGTTACCTTCGGTCGTCACCGCGCACCCCTTTTTTCATCCTTCTTTTCTTCTTTCCTTTTCGGATTGTTCCCCCTTCCAAGCGGTAGCTTGATCCGAAGGCCCACGCCTTGATCCCCAACTGCCCAGGTCGACCTTCTCCGGGCCCCGACTCCCGCGACCGCACCACCCGCACTCTGGTCTGCAGCTTGCTTGCACACCTGCCGAGGAACCGTCGAGTGGCCCCCAAAAATCCCGTTGTTTGGCGTCCCTGCAGAGGCATGACGCTAGGAGCGGGCATTTAGGCCAACGAAAACCAAGCTTGCCAGCAACGACTCTCGTGCTCTCTCGGCCAGCTCCCCTTTTTTTACCCGCGAAAAAAGGCCGATCCCTTGAGTTCAATACTACGCCGCCTGTCCATCCTCATTATCTATCCCTCCCGTCAAAAAGCACGGGTGCCACACCTCACAACCGCCAAAATGTCAACGGCACAATCAGCACAGCCAGGTAAGCCAAGCATCAAGCACTGATATGCGCCTGGCACCGCTCCCACCCACCACAACCCCTTTCTTCCCTGTCTGCCACCATCTTCCCAGGTTTTTTCCCCCTTTGACTTTTGCCCTGTCCAACGGGAGGAGAGCCGCCCTTTTTACGGCCTGCACTGCCGCCCAAGCAAACGCAAGCACCACGCCCGCTCCACCCAATCGTCGAACCTGCTGTGTCATGTAGACGGCCCTCTTGTTTCATATCCCATCCCCCTCGCCGTCATTCGCATGCACGGTGCCGTCTCTCTCCTGTCTATTACTGACTTTACTTCCTTGGAATAGGTCACCAACCTAGCAGGTCCGCCGGCTTAACACTCAATCTTTCCTCCAACAACCCCTTTCGCAACCGCGCCGCCTCCCCACTCCTCTCCGGCGGTACCTATAGCAATACCACCTCGCCCGCTTCGCCTTTTGACGACCCTCCTCCTCGTCCAGTCTCGCGCAATCCTTTCCTCGATCCATCATATTCGTCTAGTCAACCAAACTTGATCGGAGCAGGCACAATGGCACCGACGCTGGACCCAAAGGCGTCCTCGCCGACCGCTGAGGAGCTTTTCGTAAGTGCCCAACCTGCACGACTCGGCACTGTTCAATTCAGACACGCATTTACCGGTCGCTGCGATTGCGACCGTCGCAGAGTTGACTGACAATCTTCATCACAGGACGGCCTTAACATCGACGATAAGAAGCCTTCACGCCCCGAAGGGAGCAGACCTCCCGCCAACCGCCCGCCTGGCCCTCCTGGCTCCGGTCGCCGCGGTCCCCCGCCTCCCGGCCACCGCCCCTCGAGATCCCAGGAGGAGGCGATGAGACAGCGCAGAATGCAAGGCAACGGCAGCGTTAGTGGCGGCCCGCCCCGACCTTCTGGGCCTCCAGGCTCCCCACAGCGACGACCTCAGGAGCGTCGCCCTCGCCGGAACTCGGATTCTTCGCTCCTGATTGACATCGAAAAGCCGCTTACCGACGAGGAGAAGAAGGCCAAGGAGGCCAGACGTCGTGAGAGGGAGCGCCGCGCTCGTGAAGGAAAGGAGAAGGACCCTAAGAAGCCCAGCCGCCGGATTGATGTGATTGATCAATTGGACGCCACTAGCATCTACGGCACCGGATGTAGGTCAGAACCTCTCGGGTCGATGTCTCGATACTAACGACTTCAGTGTTCCATCACGATGGCCCATTCGACGCTGCAAACCCCCACCGCAACCGAAAGGGCAGCCGCCGCGCCCCGATGCAGGCTTTCGCCAAGGACTCGCTGAACATGTCTTTGGGCGGAGCCGGACCCCTCAACAAGCGTCCCGACCACGCCACTTTCATGGGTAACAATGACGGCGACGCGTCTGCTGACTTTGCCGCCGCCGGAGCCAGAGATCCCTACCAACAGCACAAGAACGAGCCGGCCGTGTTCGATCCCCGAGCCCGCAGCTCTATCCTCCACGGCGAGGAGAGCATGGGTCTGGGTACATCGACCTTCCTCGAGGGAACCCCCGCCGCACGCACTGCGATCCAGCGCACCCAGCAAGAGCAGGCTCAGCAGAGCCAGGCCGACGGCTTGAAGCGCAACAAGTCCATCGCTCAGCGTATCCGTGGCATGAAGAGGGAGCCTCGCGAGTACGGACCTGCTGGCCGCATGACGAATCCAGAGGGTGCTTACCACTCCCGCAGGTCTCCTGACAGTGCTGGACCCTCCACCAGCATCTCGTACACGAGCGAGCGAAACCCGTTCTTCTCCGAGTACGGCAAGGAGCCTGAGAGCATCTCAGTCAAGCGTACCGACAATGGCGCCAAGTCACCCGGAACCCCTCCGCCGGTCCCACGCAGAGGCTCTGCTAATGCCCTCGAGCGTCGCAACACTTCTGACGTCAAGTCGCCCACCGAGGAGGCCCCCGGCAAGTCGTCCGGAGGTTTCCTGTCCCGAGTCAAAAGTCTGAAGGGAGGACGCAGACGCCAGGCCTCTGATGCCATGGCTCCTCCGGCCCCTGGAACTGCCGCCTAGTGGAGACGCAGGCCTTAGGAAGCTGAGAAGAATAAAACGTCTAAACGTCAAGGCGATGACGCGCGCAAGCAAGAGCGCGTAGCCCACATTTATCTTTCAGACAAGCAGTCAGTCGCGCTTGGGTCGAACAAAACCAGAAGAGCCACGATTCCCTTCTGAACAAAAAAACGACACAGCAGCATTTCACACTACACCGGATAATGAGCTCGATCACAACGGTATCTGTGCAGCAATCACTTTGGAACCCGCAGGAGTGAAGAGTTGTGGTTGGGTGGGATCTCGAATTGGTTTGGGTGGATATTGGAGAAAGCCATCGGGACGAGAACTACGAAGGCCAGGGCGGACAGGTTGCACCAATGCAGTGCACCTTTTTTCAGGAGCTGCCTGGCGTATTGTGATACCTTTCGTGGATAATCATATTTCTTTAAGGGGGAATAGGTCCCCCGTCTTTCCGCCTCTTTTGCTACAAGTATTCTGGGCCCAGGAGAGGCATACTACACAAGAGGATAGCATAGAGCAGGCAGCCAACAGTCCGTCGGCAGATTGTTATGAATTAGCCTTTATTGAAAAAAATTGAGACTATTTGGCCTCGGATTGTGTTCATCCCTACAGCAGTATTTGAGTGAGAGTGCGCATGATATTTTTGGAACGAGGGATCAGCCCATTGATACGGAAGGCTGATGTGCATGTGCATGACTTGTCATTCATGCAAGGATGCTCTGCAAGGGGCTTTGTTATCTCAGCAAAGGGGAGATGGAGGTGTGCCACGCCCAGATTTCATGCAAGAAAAGGGAATGATGTCATTGAGGGTGGCTGGACATGCCTGTCACAAGTGTCTGCGCCGAGACCTGATCGAGATGGCGACGGGGGACTCGCCCCAGCTTCCCCGAAACCTTATTTGGCTCCTCAATCATGTGACCTGTCCAGTGACATCCTCGCTGCATCGTCAAGTTCGAGCTGAGCAGCAATCGCGCGAGGGCGGACTGGGGGAAGTTTACTGCAGACATATTTCGGAAATGAAGCGGTACGATCTTGCTCCTTATTTTCTCCGAAGACGGCAGTGGTACGAAGCTGAGCGGCGGCGCTGAGCGGGGTCGGGGGAAAGCACCTTACATTACCATTACGCCCCCAACAACAGCACACCATGGGCGGCGACGAGGATGCTGCGGATGCGGGCGGTGGGATGATGATGATACCATCGCAGGCGAGCTCGCATTTTCCGATTGAACCGATCTCGGCGGACGTGTTGCTGCGGCGGGAGACGAAGCGGCGGGACGCGCTGAAGAAGAGGGGGCCAGTGAGGGTTGGGTGTCGCGAGGTGGATGAGTATGTGCTCATGGGAGGAGGCCTGGAGCGCGGGAGCGTGGTTGGGGTTAGTGCTGAGAGCGAGCAGATGGGGTTGATGGTGAGTTTCCCCGCACATGTTGTCAGTGGTTTTCGGGGGCTGACTCGAGGCGATTGAAAAGATTTCTCTGCAGGCGGTGGCGACGGAGCTCTGCGGGAGCGAGGGCGAGATGAGCAGGGCGATGGTCGTCACGGCCCAGCCGCCGGCTGCGATCTTGCCGGCGCTGAGGGATGCGGTCAAGGCGGAGCTCGCGGCCCGCGGCGTTGCGGGGTCGGAAGTGAGGGGCAGGCTTGTCTCCTGTCTGGAGCGCGTGTCGATCACGAGGGTGTTTGATCTGGAGGGTTTGTGGGAGGTGCTTGGCGATCTGGACATTCCGCCGGGGAGTCCGGTTTCTGAAGCAGCGTCGCTGGTGCCGGAGCCGCAGGAGGAGGAGGAACCGGAGGTGCTGCTGGCGTCGCAAGGGCAGGAGGAGGAGATCGCTTCACCGGAGCCTGAGAGGATTACTTTGCCGGATCTGAAGCCTGCGTTTGAGCCGCAGCGGAGGCCGGTAAGGACGGAGATTGCGGACAGCGAGGAGGATGATGACATCAGCGATGGCGAGGACGGCGACGTTGGCGACGGCAAGGACAACGACATCAACGAGGACAAGGACGACCAGGCGCTCGCGCCGTCTTCTTCAGAGCTCTCGGATTTGTCGCCGCCGCCCTCGTCAATGGCTTCGATGCTAGCTACACCCGACCCTGTTGTTGCCCCTGAGGATAAAGAGGAGTCCGACTCCCACGACGATCCCGACGCGAAACCGGAAGAGAAGCTCCCAACTCCTCGAGAGCAGCCAGTCGAGGACCAAAACAGAAGCAGGAGTTCGAGAAGGGAAGCCGAACCCCCCGCGCCCCCGGACATAATCCTCATCACGCACTTTTCCACCCTCATGACGGCCCTCTTCACCGCACGCGACAGGCCATCCGCCCACGACGGGCTACAGTCCCTATCTGCCTTCCTGCGCTACCTCTCGCGCAACCTCTCCAGCAGCCCGCTCATAATGCTCCTCAACAGCACCAGCTCCTCAAAGAGCAAGACGCTGACGGAGCCGCCGCCGATACCTCCGACCGAAGCACCACCACCGGACGAAAGAAGCAGCAACAGCAGCAAGCCCCTCGCCGCGACGCTGCGGTCCGTCTTCAACCCGCCCCAGCTGGACATACCGGGCTACGCCGGCCAAGCAGCCGCGCGGCGGAACAAGCCCACCTTCGGCCTCGTCTTCGCGCAGCTGCTCGACCTGCACCTGCTGTGCACCAAGGTCCCGCGCACGAGAGAGGACGCGGAGAGGCTGTACGCGCCGCCTGACCGGGGCGACGGAGGCGGCGGTGGCGGCGTGCGGTATACGTGGGTCGTCGAGGTCCTGCTCGACGAGCTGGGCGTCTGGGACGAGGGGGCCGCGCCCGGGGGCAGAAGGTGCAGGGAGCAGCGGTGGACGGCCGTGGATGTGAGGGCGGGCAGGATCGTGGATGCGTTTGAGGGCGCGGAGGGGAGGCCGAAGAATGTCGGGGATGTTAGGGTCGTGGGCGGCTTTGGCGGCCCGCGGGTGTGAGATAGCGCGGGGATCTGACGTGAATGCGCGCCCCGGGTGTACAGGTATTTCATGTTTGACAGTCACGGGCTTGACGGGAGTCATGAAGAAGGCGGGCATGTGGATAAAACGCAGGCTTGGCTGCGTCCATCTACAAGCATCTGACAGCCCAGCCGGCCACCTTGTTGTCCCAATCCACCATGCAGAGAAATGACTCTTACCCAAATACAGTGCAAGTCACAAAAACTTTTGGTCTGCGCATTAATGAGAAACGAAACCGCTCAAAAGTCGCATTACGACGTCGACATATGTGTGTTGGGTCGCGGGGGCTTTGCGGACCCGGATGGCCACGCTCGACCAGGAAGACGCGGCGGGCGGCGCTCCGGCAGTCTCTAATCCCCAGAACCCATTAGACTGTCCTTTCGTAGAAAACCGAGTGGGTTCTTTGTCTCAAGGCTCCTGTTGCTCGATTCTGTTACGAAATCGTCGGAGAGAAATTGTGTGCGTGTGTGTGTATATAAGTGACGTTGGAAGTTCTCCTCCATGGGGCGAAAGGTGTGTGTCTGCTTTGAGCCCTCGAGAACGCTGCGCAGGAGTTTGTCCGAGGTATTGATTGGGCGCGTTCGGTCTTCATCTTTGCCTTTAAGCAACGGTAACAACAGTAACGGCGACGACACCGCTGATAGCGGAGAAGAGGACGCAGAGATGAGGATTGTTGGGACGCTGGTGCCCCTGACGGCTGCAGCTGCCTCTTTGCCTGGGGCGTCTGCCGCTTTGGAAGGGACGATGATCACTTCCACATGGCGTTATGTTCTGGACGCCGAAGGGTTTGCTTCTTCGTTCGGACGGGTTCTTGGCGCGGCGACGAGGAGACTTACATGGTCCGGCACGAGTCCCGCCGACGACGTCGAGGCCGGAGCGCCAATCTACCATTACGAGTCGGCGCCGGAGAAAGACCTCGCGGAGAGCGTCTACCAAATCATCCAGGAGAGCGGACACGAGCGGTTCGCGGCGCTGCTACACGGACAAGAGGCCCTTCGGTCGAGGCTTGCCGGTGCCGAGGGGGCGTTTACGGTCTTCGTGCCCACCGACGAGGCGTTCCAGAAGCTGGGTATGGATCAGAGCGCCGAGGCGCTGGCGCGTGAGATGGCGGAGTACCACGTCCTTGAGGGGGTGTACTCTGCCGATGCCCTTCGGGGGATGCAGACGGCGCCAACGGTGTTGGAGGAGCGCGGGACGGGGCGCCGGCAGAGGGTGAGGATTGGCGGTGGCGGGGAGGATGTCCTGCTGAACTTTTACAGCCGGCTTTTGGGGGGTGAATCTGTAAGTTCTGCTTTGTGTTGTCTGTGATGGCATGAGGCTGATGGGTTGGTAGAAGCGGGCTGGGAATGGGGTTGTGCACTTTGTTGATGATGTGCTTGTCCCGCCGCCGAGGTTCGATCGACTTGTTGATGTGTTGCCGGAGCGGCTGAGTATGTTTTCGAGGGCGCTGAAGGAGGCGGGCATTGGCGAGGAAGCGGGCTTGGAGGGTCCGAGGGGTATTACTGTGTTTGCGCCGTCGGATGAGGCGTGGGATAAGCTTGGGGCTGAAGTCAAGAGCTTCTTGTTTGGGGAGGGGGGAGCCGGGTATTTGAGGGCTTTGGTGAGGTATCACATCATCTCAGACAAGATTCTCTACACGGATGTGGCGGTTGATCTCGCCGAGGGGACGGAGTCTTGGCCGAGGAGGTACGAGACTTTACTTGAGGGGGCTGGCGTGCTTGTTCACGTTCTCACGACAGGGGGCCGGCTGATGATGGAGGTGGATGGAAAGAAGGTCTCGGTGAGAGATTTGCCTGCAAGGGATGGTGTTGTGCATGTGCTCGATGAGGTGTTGATACCATCTATGACGACTGATGGTGTCGAAAGAAGCGTGACGATGAATCTAGAAGATTTGAAGAGGCGTCTTGATCCTTGGATGAGGACAAGTGAAGGATTTGAGAATTTTGAGTTGTGAGGGGCTTTAGGAGGTGGATAGTCGGTCTTTGGGATCTCTCGTGTTGTAATCGTTTACGAGCTACTTTCTTCGGGTAGGATACCATCGTTCTATTTCTATTCTGCAGATTATGATTATGATATGCCCTTCGGCAGCTTAGCTTTGTTAGCTAGCATGAAAGACACATACTCGATTGTACGATCTGATGAAAAATTCAGATTTCTAAGGGCAGGGGCAAGATTGATAGCGAGACCAGCAGAGATGGGTACAACAGATATAGAGACGACGACGGAGACAGAGGCGGCGATGGGGATATGATAGAGAGACAGAAATAGCGGTACTAATAGCAACTAACATTCCTTCAGTAAATAGGATGAAATTTCTGTGCTCGTGAATCGCGTTAAAGACGGTAGCTAATAATTACTTGGAACCTACATCTCGATTGTTCCTACGGTACTCAATGAGCAAACGAACCATTCCAAGCCCCTTGCCACGAAGGAAACCCACCAAACGGGTTGAATGCTGGATGACTATCATCGACCGCAAACTGAAAGTCGTCTATGAAATTGCTATCGAATGGCAAGTTTGACACGTCGCTTTGGGATGTGTGCGACGTACCGACAAGCCCGTTCAGGCCATTGCCCTTCGTCAATCCATAGTCCCATCCTTGAACAGCAGCTTCATTCCATGCCGCCAGAGCTTTCCCAAATGTGTCATTCTCAGACTCGGATGGCGCCGTAGATGGTCTTTCATGAGATAGCGCGTCTTCTTGCACTGGTGGCTCCAACACCGACAGAATTCGTCCCTCGATATCATTAAGGGCAGCAATTCCGCCGAAGGCCTCGCCGTTGATGGCATCTCTCTGCCAACCTTTCTCAGGGGACGGAGCGCCTCTATTTTCCGTATGTTGATCAACAACTTCTGCCGTGTTTTTCACGTTTTTGCTGGCCGAATCTGTTTTTTCTGTGATCTGGCGGACCCTTTCGCTGGCGAAGTCTTTGAAAATGCTCTTGACCTCTCGGCGTTGCTCATCGTCCAATCTTCCGCTGATAGCTTCAAGTCTTGAAAATGTGCGCTCCTCCAGTTCGCTTGGGACACCATCGGCAAAGATACTTTCTACGTCGCTTTGGTCCATGGTGCCACCGTTTGAGTGGCCATTTGAAGTGAAGCGGCAGTCTAGCTTTTGTTAGTCTATTTCTAGCATGCATCTGGGGAATTCTGCTGCACTGAATAATGGCGAGAACTTACAAGGATCCGGCATTCTGGTACATGCTGGGAACAAGATTTGAAAGATATTCCTCCACTTGTCCTCCTCTGTTTTCAAATTACGCTTACGTTTCTTGCTTTTCAACTCATCTTCTTGGGCTGAAGTGAACCCTTCGATGTTGATGGCTTCGGCGAGATTGCACACTTCTTGCAAGCGGGAGTGCGGCTCCAGGTCAGCCTTCGAAGCAAAGATTTCGCCACATCGGGTGCAGTGTGGTTTCTGGCGATGGACTCGGTAGAGATGTTCCCTGAAAATTCTCAGCGACAAATACGTCCGTGTGATCTGCGCCGACTTACTTCAGCCTGTGGGTATCTTGAAAGGCCATGCGCCGACATCTATACAACTGCTCTTGAGTGGCCTTGTCGTGCTTTGTGTACGGACAAGCTAGCAGAGACCCGTCTGCTTTCGTTTTCTTGGATTTGCTCCTCGATTGGCGCAGAGATGGAGACGTTAGCATCGAGCTCCAGTCCCCCTTCACTTGTCTGCTTCCAGTGCATCGTAATGCCGATCGTATCCGGGCGTCCTCTTCATCGAGGTCATCCTTTTCGCTATCATCGACCAGTTGTCGGAGTTCATCGGGAATCTTGGGCTTGACGAAGATATCTGAGTCGGGTAACCTTGTAGGACGAATGTCTAAGCCATCGGCTTCGTTGTCTGAATCTGGTTCTGGTGTGGTGCAAGAAGTCTCATCGGGTGATTCGAAATCTGACGATGAAGAGGGGCTCTGCAACAAATGGCCGAATCTTTCTCTACGAAAATTGGCTGTCGGCTCGTCAGAGGAACCGAATTCAGGCTTTATTGGTTCTTGGGGAGACTTCGTGGGCGACTCTTGAACAGTATTGGGACTCGACGTTGGTGCCGGTTCATCCGGGGCTGTTGAGCGACCAACGTCGTCCACACCACCAGTTTCTTCTATCGTCAAACACGCCAGTCGAGATTCAAGTAACCGATCAGCGGCATCTTGACTCTTCTGTTGGCTTTTGCTGCGGCTCTTGTTGCTCTTGTAGTTGCTCTTGTAGTTGTTTCTGCAGTTGCTATCGTAGTCGTTGTCGTAGTTGTCGCCGTAGTTATTGCCGTAATTCTTGCTGTGGTTGCTGCTGAAGTTGTCCCCGTAGTTGCTGCTGTATTTGTTCCCGTAGTTGCTGCTGTAATTATTCCCGAAGTCGACACTGTTGTTGTCGGTTTTCCAACTGTTCGCGAAATCGTCTCGCACGGAATGGAGATCCATTGTGGGTGCCGATGTGGTCAGGAAAAGGAGTAATTTACATATTCGTGCTCTATCTAATCAGAATATTTTCCCACTAGCTCTCAGTTCTACATTTGCAAGGGAGGTATCGATATTTAAAATTCTCGAAGCTTGCAAGAAAATGCGCAAGAGCGCAATTCTCGTGCTGAGCAAACCGGCACCCCTGGTTACTGCTGATGTCACAAGGCGCAACTAGCCATTCACACAGCGGTATTGTTGTTGGGCATCGACAAGGCGAACACAGGCAGATGAAGCATAGGTGGTTCGCCAGGAGGTCAGCAAGTGGTATTAGATCGCAGATGGGTTGATTCATGTGGCTGGGAGAGAAGATTACAGCCACCATGCAGCAACCGCAGTCTGCCTTGGGCTAGAATGGGCCAATCTCTGGTTAGGGAACTGATGCAAGCCGACACAAGCCCATTGGCGCATCGTTGAGGAACATGTACTTGCCGCTGTGAAGTCACAGAGTATCATTGCGATTCTCTGCTGACGCAGTGCCGCGACGCAATGCCAACTGGGGTTCGATATAGGAACCATCGCCCAAGAAGTCGAGAACATGGTGATTGATTATTCCTACATCATGTTCCTCATCTCAGCGCTTCGGCAGTGGCGCCAATTTGATGACTGTTGATGCCAACTTCTACACTTGAACCATGGTCAGTTACGCCGCAGCTCGACAAGGGCACGCCCTCATATCCTTGATTACCCGCATTACCCTGCGCTTCCTCAAAAGTCATCTTGTATGGAGAGCCCATTCCACCATTGGACCAGCCGTAGCTTGATCCCTCCGCAAGCGCCTGGTTCCACAGCGGCCAGTCGCTGAAATCGAATTCCTGCCCCATGTCGAATCCCCCTTGTTCCGGAAGAGCCCAATGAGTATCCATTGTCGAGAGCCCCGCCTCCGGAGCCACCTTCGACCCCGTCTCCAACGCGCCGTCCAAGGAGAGCATCAACATCGGTCCTGGGGCCTCTGATGTCCGAGGTCTGTGGCTCGAATCCGGCGAGCCCTGTGTCCGATCGAGGCTTCCTGGGGTGGCGGGGCTTGTGGTGATTGTCGCTTTCCTCGCAAGTTCCTTGCTTCTTGTCGCGGAACTCTTGCCTTTCCTCGGCGATCGGAGCATCTTGATGGCGAAATCCTTGCAAACGTCCATGATTTTCCTCCTCTTCTTCGTGTTCAACTGGCCACCGACGGCATCCTCCATCAACGATAACGTTTCTTCCTCCAACTTGCGAGGAACTGGCTGCTTGAAGATGGCCTCGGCATCTTGGTGGTCTGCTTGAGCAGGGCCGGTCGGGGTTGTGTCGTCAAAAGCGAGACTGTATACTATCGCCGTGTGTTAGTGAATCAAGACACTGCTCAAGTTGCGCGGAAAACTTACAAGGATCGGGAATCTCGCTGCTGTCTGGAAAGAGTATCCGGTAGATCTCTTTCCACTTGTCCTGCTCGGACTTCACAACCCTTCCGCGCTTCTTGCTTTTCAGTTGCTTCTCCTGAACCTCATCGAACCCCTCGACAGACACCCCTTCAAGAACCTCACACAGACTTTGCGACTTGAGATGCTCACGCACGTCGGCCTCTGCGGAAAACGTCATGCGACAACGCGGGCAGTTTGGCTTTTGCCTATGCGTCCTGTGCAAGTGTTCCCTTGAGTCAAGTCAGTCTCGGCGATTCATAAATGAGTTGTCTTGTGGAAAGCAACTCACTTCAACCTGTGCGTAGAGGTGAACGAGGCCCCTCTGCAACCTCTTCTCTGGCCATACGTCTTGGGGTCGTGCTTGAGATAAGGACAGGCCAATGGAGGCGCCAGTGTCGGCCCTTCAAGCTCGGCAGCAGGTGGAGTGATGACCTGTTCGCCGCATTCTTCGAAATGGAACGTTCCCTGCGAGTAAGATTTGACGCGATTGTGCTTGGACGTTGAACGCTGCGGGATGGGAAACGGAGGCTGGTCAGGACTACGGGCAGGAAGCTGGCAACCGGTCAATTTGAAGCCTCAAATGGTATGTGTTCAACATACTTCAAATTGAGGGCTGTGTTCTCTTCCGAAATTTGAGAAATCAAAGCTCTTTGCCACTGGTGCCGGGAATTGCGCTGTCTGTTGGGGATGCTGCACTGGCGCAGGCCAAGAAGCATGAGACTGGAGGCCGTCGATCTCATGCTTGTCCTCCTTCTTGCCGTTGAACACGCTCTTCCAGTCAAAGCTCTTCTCAAACTTGACCTTGGTCGGCGACCCCATCGACTGGCGTTTGCGAAACGTCGGCGGCGTGGGGAAGGCGTCGAGATCCAGCCCCGACATTCGGCTCGCCAATCCTTCAGTGTCGTCCCGGCCCGCCATCGGCGGTGTGACGGCCTCGGTCTTGATCGTAGGTGACATTCTCATCGTGTGTCTTGGTTCGCGACGCTCTCTCTCTCTCTCACAAGAAGTTCATGAGTCGCGATTGAAAGAGAAAGCTAGCGCATTGCAACAGGGAAGCGGTCAACCACAACTCATGTTTTTATGAAAAATCAAAAGAATATCGCAACTTCGCATTTCTCACTCTTCGCGCATCACACCCCTGCCACCCGCCGGCTCGTGGTTGGCTGATTGGCAACGCAGGGCGTGCCAGCAGTGAGCTGGCGAGCCCCGCCGCCTTGGGCAAATGGGGCCCCCTCTGCGGTCTGCCGCCCTCACCGTCTTCAGGATTTGTCTGCATGTGGAAAAGGCCGTTTGCTGGTTCAGCTGACGTAGGTGGTATCCAAACCGCAACCAGCAGCCAGAGGCCGCCCCCTTTGGGACCTTGGGGGGCAGTCCCTTGCTGATAAGCGCGTGGTAGCGACTGAGAGAGGAGCCTGTTTGGGGGTGGGCGAACCGGTGAATTTAATCTCACCATCGTCGTTTCTAGCAAGGGAGATCGTCAATCAATTGACATGATTTCCCAGTAAAATTATCTCTCTCCCCTGTGCACACAAATACTTGCCTCCTTGCCTACCGCTCTTCGGCGTCCGCATCGGCCAAGGCCTGAAGAAGCCCCCCAAAGAGCTTCCGGCTTCCCAACACCTCGTCGTCTTCTGGTGTAAGATCATTTGGAATACCATCTCTATTGAAGTTCCTTTGGCGAACACATCGCGGGCAACCACTGGGTTTCCGTGGCAATCTCTTGTCGTGTGCGCCGCCAATGCTCGTCGTATGCCTCGCGAAGCAGATACCTCGTTTGGAAGTACGCCCACTCGTCCAGAACCTGCGGCATCCCGTCCGCGAGCACGCGCTTAATGACCTTGAGATCCGGCAGATGGTGCCTCGCTCTCCATAACCGCAAGTTATCTTCTGTGAATCCCTTGATAATCTCGCGTCTTGCTTCGTCTTCTGATCCTGCATTCACGTTAATTTCGGTGTCGAGTAAGAGATTGCAGATGCTACGCATCCATCTGTGGTGTCTCTTATCCACCGTCGCCTGTAGCTCAGGCCAGCCTCTCTCATGGATGTAGATGAAGTCTAAACCCAAGTTGACAAAAGGATACCTTGTACCCCTTCCGTGACGTGATATGGTTGACCAGAAGCCACGATGATCTGACATGCTCCATGTCCATACAGGGAGCTGAAGCCTTGGCCGAAGACCTCGGGCGATTTCCCGGGACATCTCATTGATGGTGTTGTCGATGGAGTAGTAGTACCTTGCTTTCTCCGCGGACAAAGTATGGGCTCGATAGTAGTAACTCGCTTTGGCCATCGTCGTGGCCTGAAGTTTCCAACCGCTGCACCATACATAGTGTCTAGATCTGGGCTTGTCAGCTACTGGACTGTACCTACCGTCGTCACTGTCGTATTCTTCACTGTCGTCGTCCTTACTCTTGTCTTCGGCATTTGCTGGACGGCTTGGGTTGGGGAAACCGCTAAAAGATTGAAAAAGGGGTGATTGGAGAGGCCACTTGGATGAGTGGACACGCCACTGACAGAGGCGTTTGGACAGACTGAAATTTTTGTCCATAGCAATGGCTTTGTCGTAAGTCAAGGCGAGAAAGCGAATGGCTGAGAAATGAGGGAAATATCAAGTTACAAATTTCATCAACGCCTCGCCGTCACAATCAAATGATTCCATATTGCTCTTTCGGAGATGTACTTGGGACCGTGAACCTCGAGAGTTCACTGCCATAGGCTCGGACAGTCAGGTGTGCGCAGCATCTGCTGTACGCTTGCCTGGTCTGGCCAAATCGAAATTCGCCGCACCAAAGTCATTATGTACAATAGAGTTGCCATCTACTTGGGTCACCGCATAGTCAAAAGTATGGTTCCAACGTGGGGTTGGAAGCTCAAAAGCGCTGACAGTGGTCCAGTCATATCCCTCTTCGTCGACATAACCTCGGTTCCACTCAGGCCAGCATTGTAAGTTCAGATCATCGCCGAAGTTGAAGTCTCTAATCTGTAACGGAGGCGAGCCATTGTCCTTGGTTGCGTGTGTGTCGGTGAACGTCTCATGTGAGACGCTTCGCGACCTTTGCATGTGGGATTCGCCAAGGGCAGCTGTTGAGGACGATGTCTTGGCTTCTGGCGGAGAATGGGTTGAACTCAGCGTCGTGTTGGATTCGGTCTTGGGTTCGTCGGATTCCTTTTCGGTTTCTGATCTTTGCACTGACGCCTCGCCGGAAGTTGTGTCTTGTGGCTGTTGAAGGACCTTGGCAGCGTATGTCTGGAATGCAGTCTGGAATACATGCACCACCTTCCTCCGTTTTCGCCTGTCCCATTGTTGTGACCCTATCACTTCTCCGAGCTTTCTAAAGGCCTCTTCTTCCAGCTCTGGTGGGAGCTCTCGTGGGAAAATGCTCTCAATGTCGAGCGCGTGTTCATTGCGAGCTGTAGGCGGGCCTGGCGTTACGCCGTTGAAGTTGGGGTGGTAGTCTTTCGTACGTAGTAAGCTTCATAGCATCGTGCCAAGTCATCCAGAGTCTTACATGGGTCTGGGATATCATTGCAATCCGGGAAAAGAATCCGATAAATGTCCACCCATTTTTCTACTTCCGATTTAGCCCATCCTCGCCTCTTGCTTTGCAGCTTCTCCTTCTGCAAAGCGTCAAAGCCCTCCACTGTGAGGTGTAGAGAACGTTCACAGGAGGCTTTTGAAAGCAGGTGACCGGCGACCTCGTCGTCTGTAGAGAATATACTTCGGCACCGTGGGCAATTTGGCTTCTGTCGATGCGTTCGATATAGATGCTCTCTAAGACCACAAGCTGTGTCAGTCCTTGTTACAAACCCTTGAGTGGCAGTCGGCACTTACTTCAACCTATGTGTGGTAGCAAAAGAAGGACCACGGCAGCTTGGTCGTTCTCCGTAAGTGGCGGGATCGTGCTTGAGATATGGGCAGGCGAGCTTGAGCTTGGGCTTGACGATTCGGAAGTCTCCTGGACCGACATCTGGAGGACCATTCGCCTGGAGGGATGTTGGAAGCTCTGAGAGGTCTTGAGCTTCTTGACGTTGCTCCTCAAAGTAGTCGAGGAGCTTTGAAGGAGCTTGCGGTGCATCCTGGTACGTGATGCCGCTTTTCCGACTGGTGTCCACGAACTTTGGTTCAAGGTATGTCTCTGGGTTTCGAACATCATTCGTATTGATATCCCCAGATGTAGCTTTCGGTTCGGACCCGAGCACGTCCTCGTCTTTGGCTGCCTTGGCTGCGTCCAAATCTTTGCTGGGGTCAGCGATAAATCATCATGGGGAATTGGCAGTCTTACAAGACGTAATAGCCTCGCTACCAAGACCGCGGCTGCTGGCCCCGCGCTCAGGTTCCCCATCGCTATCGCCATCACCGTAAACATCATTGAAACTCAATTTGGAGAATTGGTCTATCAGAGGATCGGGAGTGCCGAAGATGTCCAGGCAGACGTCATGAATTGAGCGACTGTCTTCATTGTAGGGCAGACCTGCAAGCTTCAAACGCTGTGGGGGAAGATAGTCGTCTTCAAAACATTTTTCTTGCAAGAAATGCAGTGGTTCTGGCAAGTTAGGTAGGCCAAACATCTTTGCGATCAAATAAAATTGTCAATACACGACCAGCACTGTTATAGACGCTGGAGGCTTCAACTCAAGGAGGCCCTTCACAAGCGGCACACTGGGTTTTATGGGAAGAAATTGCTCAGTGCCGCAATTCTGCCTCCCCGCACATTCACACCATCCCGACCGACCGACTGACTGTCCAGGTCGAATGTCAACCTTGTATGCAGGTAAGTTCCATAATCATCCAATAGCTGCGAATGGGACACGTTTCGGTATTCGCCTCACGAAGACACCACGACCTCATTCGTTGGTGAGCAAAGTGCATCTTTGGCCCGCATTATGACATAGCTAAAATGAGAAACAGACGGACGACGGAGAGGATATGGATGACAGACGACAGGGACGATACGAGCGACAAGGACGAGGATGCCAACAATCAGAGGAACAATAGTCATGATTAAAACAAGAGTGACATTGGGGACGACAATAAGCCGCCTGCTTATCCAAAAGCCTAGCACGCGAGTGACACAATAATAGGGACACTTTCACCAACACCTTCTTATCTGCCCGCAAGAAAACAGCGAAGTTGGACTCTGAAAACCCTAGGAAAATTCTCACTTACTATTTAAAAGCTATTCTTTGATTTTTACTTAGTTAAAGAGATTTTCTCGCTTTTGTGGTAGAGATACTCGAAGTCTGTAGTGGGAGCGATTAAAAGTGTCCCTATTATTGTGTCACTCGCGTGCCTAGATAGCAGAACTCATTTGATAGACTCGTTTCTGGTCACAGGATAGGAGCATAAACGAGCCTTGGCGGATGCTCACCAGCAAGGGATGAACGCAAGTGGACGCAGTCTCACCTGCAGATGAGCAACAATGTCCAGCCAAAAACGCCAGGAATGCTTCCCTCCCGCACCCGGGCAATGCCAGCGCTCCCAGCCTGCTTGCCCAGCCAGCACATTCCATACGATGGCACCAGAAAAACGCACTCAGCAATGAATTATCTCCTACATTTGGCAGAGTCTTTTTCTACAAATACAAGGCTCCGTCCCCCAGCTGAAAGCTCGAGGTCTCCATTGCCAAAGCTCAACATCTTTCTCCCCAAACTGTTCACTCTCCATATGTTTCCTTCAGAAGCCGTACAGAAGCTGCCATCAGGAGTCCGGCTGAGTACGAATACTCTCTCAGGCTGAAGAACTTCCGCCAATGTCCTAGAAGGACCAGAACATGAGGCGTCGCTCCAAAGACCCGAGTAGCGAAGTCGAAAAGTCGCGAAAAAGCAAAACGAAATGCCGCCAAAAGAAACAAGAGTATGCCATGCAATGCTGACCATTTATGCCACCACGCCCAACCGCCACGCCGTGTCCATCAACCACCTCGGAACCGTTTCTTTTTGTCGCAAAACTCGCCAAATGCCAAGCAGTAAAAATTAGTTGTCAAGTCGCGCTTGAGAAAGTCCAACAATGTCTAGAGCCAGGGCAGCCCAAAGTGTGCCCGTATGCAGTCTAACCTCCATCGCGTCAAAACTCCGGAATGGTGCAGACTGCACAAATTGTGGCTGCAACATCTCTTGTTGCTCATGCTGTAGAGCACGGCTCCGGGGCTCAAGGGTATCCGCAAATTTCCGTACAATCGTGAAGGCGTGGCTATACCTCGGAGACAAGCGTCTGAGCTGTCGATTCATGTGTTTCTGTAGCTGCCTGCTTTGTTCGTACCACACAGCTTCGAAAATGTCGAATCGCAAGGCTATAAATGAAAATGCAGACTTCAGTTGAGGAAGAGAGCAACGTTGTCAAGTGCTGTGTATCCTTGGATGAATCGACGATGTGTAGGAATAGCAACCAATCGGAGACGCAGCAAGCATTGGTTGTTCAAACCAGGTCAACAGCCAGTTACTAGTGACGTCCGACCTGGCTATTGCTGGCACGGCTTCGCTCATCCTCTTCTTCCATAACATCGCTCAGGCGCGTTGGATGATGATGTCTGGGAACGGTCTCCCAGCCCGGGGCGGCGTAGCCTGAGCCGGAGTAGTCTTGAGTGCCCTGTTGCTGACCGCCGGCTGTGGTCGTCGGAGTTTGTGAATAGCCGGCGCTGGGAGGGTTGGTCGCAGGAGTCTCGTACTCTTCTAGTCCCTCGTCAGAAACCGGGGAAGGCGGAGCAATGAAGGGAACTTTATTTCCCTGCGAATCGCGAACAAACTGGCCCTGTGCATCAATCGTGTACTCACCTTCACTGTAACCGCCTTCGGAGCCAGCACCGGTGTAGCTCACGCCTTCCTGGCCTGCGTCGCCAGATGGATAGAAGTTGCCGCCAGGGCTCGAGGTGACAGGCGGGTTGGCCGGGCTTTGTGAGTACTCGCCCGTGTAGCCGCTCTGCTGGCCGCTGTAGTCGGTCTGATATCCGCGCTGCTCACGAGAGCTGCCGTGGCGACTGGGTACACCTTGGGTCATGGGCACAACCTGAACACCGCCGACAATAGTGGGCTGGCCGCTCTGCAGAGACTGCGTTCTCTCTCGCTCCTCGTGCTCACGGCGTCCGAGCTCTTCCCAAGCGCGACGGGCCTCCTCCTTGGATATCTGAAGCTCCTTCTTCATCTCTTTGACGCGTTCATCGTTAGCCGAGGTGACTCTCTCCTTCTGGATGGCGGCCTGAACGGCGTTTTCTCTAGCACGTCGTTCATCTTCAAGGGCTCGCTCCAGCATGGCGTTGACTTCCTGGCTTCGCTCTAGCTCTGCTCTGGTTTCGAAGAACCAGCGCTGAAACTTGCGTTCGGAACTGGCACGGAGACGCTGCAACTCGACGACAGCATGGAACAAGTTGGCACCTGCAGCGGTGAGGTCGGTAACCTGACGAGAAAGGGCCTGGTTGACGGGGTCACGGTCAATATCCTGGTTGTTTTGCTCCAAACGCCTGATCCAGAAGCTAGTCAGACCCTCCCAGTGGGCAGACAAGGTCTCCCAGCGCTCGAAAGCATGGGGGAAGGAGTTTCTGGGTCTGGATCCTGCGACGGTCGTCTCCTGGCCTCCCTGAGTGGCTGTTGTGGGCTGCTGAGTGGTGCCGGCCTGAGGGTTGTTGCTGTACTGTTGCTGGCCGACGTGAGAGCCTGATGTTGTGCGGGTATGCCGGGTTTGGGGCTGTGTTGTCGCCGGTTGGCGGGAGGTTCCTCCCGCAACAGGCCGGGACTGTGGGGTATCGGTGGCTGCGGGTCGCCGTTGGGAGGTGGGGTCTGGCTGGGGCACGCTGGCAGCGCCACCAGATCCTCCTCCGGCAGCGCCAGTAGCGGCGGCGGCGGCAGCGCGGCGCTCCGCATTCCGTCTCTGAGTCTCCTCCAATAAACGAGCTTCCTGCTCAGCTCGCTGTCTCTCCAATTGCATCTGCTCCTGCTCGGCTTTCTGTCGGGCGGCCTCTCTGGCAGCTCGCTCCTGCATGATCATTCTAGGACCACGAATTCCGGAAGGCGAGCTGGTCGGGTTGGGCGCGCCAGTTGGGCGACGAGAAGGAGTGGACGCATTGCCATTGGAAGCGGCGGCGCCGCCTCCGATAAGGTCAGCCATGGATGCGCTTTCCTCGATCTCGTCGGGCGTGAACGGGTGGGGCTGTCGGAGCGCTTCCTCGAGGGCAAAGAGGATGGCGCTGCGGGTGTTTCTGGAGACGCGATGAGGTCGGTGAGACTCGCGTCGTTTATTGGGAGATGAGGATGATCGGTCTCGGAAAGACGGGGCTTCGTCCGAGGATTCTTCTAGAAGAAAGTCCTCGCTCAGATCCTGCGAGAGAACTCTTCGTGTACGGAAATTTCGTCTGTCTTCGTGGGCGACGAGTCGGGGATAGTCGTAGTTAAGGGGAGCTGCAGGCGCAAGGGCGGGCGCGGGGGCAGGTGCAGTCGCAAGTTGTGGTTTGGGACTGAAACCAACCGAAGCAGCTTCAATGTGTACTTGGCGGGTTGACTGTGGGGTGGGACTCGGGGTCGCTTCGAATCGCGGAGTACGGCGAAGGGTGCGATGGGATGAAGCTGGAGTCGAGGGTCTCTCAGCTGGATCTGGAGTGATGGTTCGCGATTGCCTACGCAGCTGCTGCTGGCGCTGGGGGGTAGGGTTCGTGAGGTCGTGAATTTCGTGACGGTCGTTAGAAGGCGTGGGGAAATTTGGGTTCGTCAACTTCGCGACGGGGCCCAGGTCACTGATCTGACCTGATGCGGCGGACAAGGTGAAAGTGTCACCACCCAGGTGGTGATTGAGGGTCGTCGATGAGTGATGTAAGGCAGGCGAGGGTTGGCGAGACCTGCGAGAATGCTGATCTTGGTGTTAGCAAGTACCGAAGAGCAGCACAGCACAGCGCACGAAGGTGGTGTGGGCTCCTTGGGGGTAACACGGGAAAAACAAAATAGGTGAGGTTGGAGGGAACAGGGGATAACTCACTTGGTAGGGTGGTATTGTGCTGATGGAGTACACAGATACCACACCCAAAAAAGTGAATGAATAAAAGCGGTCTGCGCAAGCAGGCAAGATGCTGCTTAGCAGAGGAGAAGTGAAATCCGGAGTGGTATGGATCCTCTGGTAAAACGTAAGGCAGAGGAGGGTGGTGGGTGTGAGAATGCCACAGAGAGAGGGTCGAGGTCGAAGCGGGAGGAAATGGGAGAGGCTGGCGTCAGATTTGGGAAAAAGAGGTGGCTAGGCGAAGAGGCGGCTTTGGGGGCGGCCAGTGGAATCGAGCGGAAGATTGGTCGATGCGCGCTGAGCGAATGGATAAGGCGCAGATATCTAGGATTGATGATGTCGTCGGGGCGATAGATGAAGCTCTTGGAACAGTGGTTTCTGGAGGAACAATTGCTCGTGGTGAAGCTTTTTGTTGGATGCGCCGGCTCGACCTCTTTTTTGTTGCGGTCGTCGTGATGCGAAGTTTGGTGGTTTGGTGAGTGAGAGAGTCGGGTGAAAGGTGGGAGTGAGAGGGAGAACGCGCGCGCAAAGTGGTAATTGACGCGTTGGGTAGAAAAAGAAAAAATCAACAAAAGATTGCGCACTTCTTTTT